AAATTTTTGAGCATCACTTTGCAAATTCCGTTGGGGACAATTACTTTGGGGCTTTCACCTAACAGATGGCCGCCTGGACTGTTTGGTAAAAGCAAGTGGTGCATTATTTTTTGGTAGTTTGTGCCGCGTTGTTGTTGTTGTTGGTGTTAAAACGGCAGCCTTTTCTGCGGCTCCTGAAGGAAAAAAATGATTAAATAAACATTTGGATATTAATATTTGAAGTCTCCCGAAGAGAACCACAGTTTTCCAAACGAAAAATATTGATATTCAAGAATTTTATACGAAAAGTTTTTTTTTCGCCCATATAAAATACATGGAAAACATTGAGCGCCTTAAGCACTCCCTAAATATTTTTTGATTTCAAAATAAAACATGTAATTTTTAAGCAAAAAACAAAACCGACATCAATTCTCGTATAAAAATTTAAGATTATCGTTAATTTCTTAATGATCCAATGATTGGAATTAAACCAAATTAGTATGGGACCACCTGTGAGGTGGTGAATTGTAGAAATCGGTTAACGTGGTCCAAAGTTATGTAACGTAACGTACATAAAAAAAATATTCCGATGATTTGATAACCTTCTCCTTCTTCTGCACTGTAGATTCGTACTTATTTTTTATGAAAATTCATTAAAAAGCTTTCCTAAATAGTGCTTAAAATAATTTAGATACACACATATGCACATACTCGATAAAAAGTAGTTGTAAAACTTTTTAATTTCTTAATTTATAGGAGCGAATGTACGCCGTCGATGGAAAACTCTGCGCGACTCCATTTCGCGCGAAGTCAAAAAGAATGCCACCGTGGAAAATTATGCACGAAAGAAGGAGAGCCCAATTATTTCCGAACTAGAGTTCTTGATACCTCATATCAAAAGCGCACATTGCGCAAAGTAAGTTTAAAGGCAGCTTAATCCTTATCGCAAAAAAATTTACTTGAATGTTTCGTTTCAGGTTGGCTGATGAGTTGGGGCTGCGGGAATGTTACAACACCACAATACCGGCGGACATTGAGGTACAAGAGGATGAAGATAGTCTAAGCGACCTGATAGACTTGACTGAAGAGTGCGATATTAAACCCTTTATTAAGCAAGATGGATTCGAGTACGATGAAATGGACACTTTGGACGATACCTTTCCACATGAATCCCTCTCTATCGAAATCAATGGCGATGTCACAAATGGTCTCACAAATGGTATTGATGTAGTACCAGCCAAGGAAACAGATGACACGGCTGAATCCACATGGAATGCGGAATTCTGCACAGTGGCACAATATAAAGGAGGTGAATTCATTAACCCCGTTGAGTTGGTTGCGGAGCAAGAAAATGGAGGGAATGGAGAATGTGAAGAAACGGCAGAACGAGAGAGGGAACGGGAAAGGGAAGCAGAAGCAGAGAAGTCATCACCAATACCCGCTAACACCACTAGTCCCGCCGAACCTGCAAATAAACGGCCGCGTTACCATCCGGAAGAGTCATCTAAAGAATTACAAGCCAAAATACTTCAATTGCTGAGCAGTCTGGAGCATCGCGAACGTAGTGATCATGAGGGCCAAGACGAGGATCGCATGTTTCTGTTATCTCTTGTGTCCGATTTAAAGAGAGTGCCTGCAGCGAAAAAAATGACTGTTAAAATGGAAATAGTAACGGCCATTGCACGAGCCAATGACTGCCAATGAAAATTAGTTAGTTACATAAGTTTAGGGATCACAATTTATGGCCAGTGTAATCACTTTAGCAGTGTTATCACATGGCCAAATGGCTTTATATGCAAGGAAGTGTGTATAGTATAGCAACGGGAAGGTAACTTAGTCAGATGTATAATTGTACAAACCACGCACTATGGGCTAAATTACATTTTTTAATGTAATATACCGGGAATGAATAGAGCTAGCTCTATTTTTTTTTATAATTAGCGGTTGGAATAAGGGTGAATGGTTTTCAAAATATGTATACCGTTATCCATTCGTCCTGAAATATACTAGCCAGAAATGCGATTGCTTTATAAAAAATAGAACCATTTTGATATATGAGTGTTTTTACCCCCTAGAAAATAAATTATGAAACCTCTCATACGCGGTTTTGCATTATCTTGATACGCGGTTTTGCATTTTGTTGATAGGCGGTTTTATACTTTAAACGACGATATGTATGTATACATATGCATGTAACACCGACTCCGGCCGGCTAATTTTTTTGTAAAGTTATTTCCTTTCATATAAGTAATATCTGTGTTCATATGGAAAAGTAGCTTATGTCCAAAGGCTGGCTTTAGTATAATGCGGTATTCCCTTTATTCTTTAAACGACAAGGAATTTTTTGATGAGACTTAATAAGAATATTGACTTGCTAGTATCGGAACTACTTCTTGCACGTTTATTTGCCAAAGGTTCTTCAACAGCTCAGCGCCAGTGAGTCATTCGCAATCGTATGCTGTGAATGCCGATTTATACTAAAGCCAGCTTTTTGACATAAGCTACATTTCCATACGAATACAGATTTGTACCATATACATATGAACCAAATCGGGCCATAGATAAATTTTAAATTTCCACCTGCAAGGTGCAGGAGTCGAGATATTTGAAAAACTCGTATTTAAGGTCCAATTTTAGGTCATATTTGGAATTTATATAACTTATATGAATGGAAATAATTCCCCAAAAAGTATATCTGGTAAGGTTGATATATACAGTGACTCGAGCAAGTATTCACGTGCTGATTTTTTCAAATATTCACAATGTTTTTAAGATCTTTTTTTTCGTTATTTTCCATATAAATCAAGTTTTCAAACTTTTTGCCAAATTTAGGAAAATTCCACAAATTTTCATAAAAATTTAGGGCTTTTTAATAAGAATCTGTAGAACTTTTTTACGTATGCAGTTTTATATCCATATAATTTTAGTCTAATGAAGTGTAAATTTCAAGCGGCTACAAAATTGCGTTGAGTTTTAATAATTTTTTTTCTGACGGATTTTCGGGCTTTTTTCCATATAAACACGAATTTCTTAGAGAATTAAATGCGCAAGACCGTTCGCAACAAAATTTCAAAATATCAACGCCAGTTTTTGTAAATTGTACTTGTTGTATAAAAAAAGCGGTCACAAAAAAACTTGAAACTTGCTCTTAATTAGACTAAAATTGAACACCCATATTTATTTTAAAGATTCGGATTAAAAGCTCAAAATTTTAATGAAACTTTGTTGAATCTTCGTGAATTTTGTATGAAGTTTGAGTATGTAACTGGTTTTGGCGAAAACTTGGACAATTTTTTATAGAAAAAACAAAAAAAAAAAATAACTTGAAAAACGTATATATATATATACATATATATATTTTGAAAACCATCCACCCCTTATTGCAACCCATCTAATAATTTTTTTTTATCGATATCGTGATTTGCCTTCGAGATAAAGCAAAAAGAAAAGCGAGAGATAATCGATTTTTTGAACGTGATCAAATTCGGCCCTTTTTTCCAACCTTTACAATAAGAACGTTTACGGTCGTTATATTATTCCTTTAATCGACATAACTCGAACTTTATTTAAGAACAAATTTGGACCAGCTCTATTTCTCATTATATTAGGTTTTAAACATAGTGCGACATTTGTCAGTAGTATCATTCACAAGTAATTGGGTTTTGGTTTCGTTTTAGTAAACTAAATGCACCGGTTTTGACGCGGGAGAAGTTAGTTGATATTTAAGGCTTGTCTTACTGTGCATTTGCCGTCTAATAAGGGAAAACATTTGGCCAAGGCAAATTTAACATGGTTAGCAGTAGATAATCAGATTTGATTGTATTTTTTTTTTTGCATTTGGTCTGTAAATGTTATATTTGTTAACATTTTACTTAAAAGTCTAAACAATTTTGTTTGCCTATTTCGACATTTGAAAGTCTAAAATTAATAACGAAATACACAAAGCTTTTTTACCAGTTAGTTTGCTTTAAAATAAGTCTTCAGTTTTGCACAACCGTTGCTAAATCGATAATGTGTCCCTTTATGGTGAATCAAATAAACGGTATCGGCATTAATTAAAGAGAAGAAAGTTATGGCAAAATGTATTGACAATGTGTCGTCAAAATATGAAAGTGAAAACCGGCCTTTAGGGATTATAGCTGTTTTGCAACAATAAGTCGAACTTAGTGGAAAATATAATAAGGTTCTCGCACTCGGTATCGAAAAAGTCATTCGCTGGGCGAGAGAGTCAGAAAGAAACAACACTGACACTGACAAGTTGTAGGTTGGATGAATAACTAAGCTATTGTTAGGAATATCGTTATGCTGATCGCACACGAGGCAACCCTTGAAGCAGCCAAGTCCCGTTGCTTCTAGTGCAGCATAGTTTCTCATGGCGACGGTTATGGCTGAATATCAAAACATTTTCATATTTTTGTTTCTTGCCGCGAAGGTTGGCTCGTGTGTGGTTAGCATAAGGGTGCTTTCTATCACGCTCATGACTTTGTGCAAAACATTCCCATATAAATATGTAAGTTTTAATGAGTAGTCCTAACTTGTAAAAATTGATATAAAAAGACAAATATATGTATACATGAAGAAGCGTTTATATATATAGTCCACAATGTTCGGATAGAATTTATGACCAAAAAAGAAAAACACATATTTACATACGAACATATGTATAAATACAAAAATCATAGCTGACCTTGGAAGGTTGTGTAAATAAATAAGGAAGATTTCTTACCATCCACTTTATGTAGAAAACAAACAATTAAATTAACAATAATGGTTATTTAATACTTAATCAGTTTAAAGTAGTTTTTTAAATAAAGAAATTAAACATGCTTAAATTATTATTCTTAGGCTTACAGTGGTGGAAAATAAATAGGGACCCGATATTTTTTCAAATATTGCCTATTTTTCTTTCGTTTATTTAATATTTATTATTTATTTATAAAATTATAGCTCATTATCTATCAAATACCATATAAATTCCTATTTCAATATTGAGCACAATTGCATATAAATTTTCAACTTTCTAATCAGATTTTCACGAATTTTTTGGGTATGTAGTTTTATAGCCCATTACATTTTAGTAGAATGAAGTGTAAGTTTTAAGTTGCCCAAAATCGCGTTGATTTTTGGCAACTGTTTTGAACCATTTTCTTCCATACAAAGTATGTTCGACAATAAATTTAATGGGCTATAAAACTGAATACACAAAAATCTGATTAAAAAGTTTAAAATTTAGATGCAATTTTGCAGAATTTTTATAATTTTTGCATAAGTTTGAAATATGAATTTATATGGTTTTTGTTAAATAATGAGCAATACTTTTATAAAAAAATACTAACTATTAAGGAAACATAAGAAAAATAGGAAAAAATTGTTAAAATGTCATGTCCGTATTTATTTTTTCATCACTGTATATGTAAAAAAGAAATTATCTCAATCGTTTTTATAAGCGAAAGTAAATATGTCTTTAGCTGTACTAATTTCTAACGCTTGAGTTCATTAATTTTTTAACCGACTTCAAAAAAAGGAGAAGGTTATCAATTCGTCGGAATAAACCTATGTTTTTTTATGTATCTAACTTTTGACCCCGTCAACCGATTTCGATTTTTCTATCTGAAAGGTAGTGTCTCACATGTGGTCCCATACTAATTTGGTTTAGATCCGATCATTGGATCATGAAGAAATTAACGGTACTCCTAAATTTTTATATGAGAATTGAAGTCGGTTATGGTTTTGCTAAAAATTACTTGTTTATTGTTTAATTTTAATTTTATATCAACAAATAATAGTTCCACGACATTTTATATTTAATTAGATGCAATGGTAAACCAAAATTAGTGCTACGAGCAATGAAAGTAAGAATAAGAAAAAAATTAATAATGCAAAATTATGTTATTATTGGATTTATATGAAGTAAACTGCCTTATATTTGGGAAAAAGGGGTCTTCTTAAGCGGATGTCCAAGAACCGATTTTTAGAAGCTGGCCTTCCCACTCTTCCTCTACTTAGTTTAATAATTTAATATTATATACAGTTTATTTAACAAAGCTCATATACAGGCAGGTTCTACAATTCATTTACGAGTGAATTTCAACCCCTGTGAATTGCAGAACCTGCCTGAACATACAATTTAACAAGTTAACACTAGCAGAGCATTGTTGTGCGCTTGGTCGCGGCCATGGCATGGATAACTAGATATGAAACTCTCTCATTTTTTCTGAGAGCGCGCCCAGGAACTCGTTTTCGTACTTGGCAGCACTGCCAATCCCTGGGCAGATAAACAGCTGACACGCGAAGTGGCGAGCTACCACTAAATGTGTGGAAAATGCATCACATTGAATTCAGTGCATTTCTTCTTCCCGCATTTTTTAATATTACTATAAAACAGTATTTGTAACTAAACGCAATTTTCCTGACAATATTAACAGTGAAATATAAAATAGATATGAAGAATATTGCAACTTTTGTCCGTTGTGTTTAATCAAAAGTTTCTCCATAAATTTCTCTATAAATGCCCATACATGTTTTCGTCACAGTGGCTCTACTGGAGAATGTTATAAAAAAAATATACACTTTGACAGCGCTCTCACGAGAAAAAGAGTTTCATATCTAGTTATCCATGGTCGCGGCTGACAACGCAATGTCGAGTATTTCTGTATCGTTCTGTTGGTGTGGTAGCCGCGCTTATGGATTATAAGCAGTGATCGGACTTAAAAATTTTGTGTGGTAGAATCTGGAAAAAAATGTGGTAGATTTCAAAAAAATGTGGTAAATCTCAGGTATTGGATCAAAATTTGTACAAAAATTAAAAAAAATCTGCAAGGTTTCACCTAAATTTCAAACATTTTAATTAGAATCTAAAAAAAAATCAATTTTAGTGTAATAAAGTGCAAGATTCAAGTTGCTTGAAATTGCGTTGAGTTTTGGCAACTTTTTTTGCTTGACAGTGTAAAGCAGTTCCTTCCATATGAAGATATTTTTGGCACATATTTTGAAAGATTTCTGCAACCTTGCGGAGTGCTGCCAGCTTTTCTTTTTTAT